TAATGGGATTGCTGAGTCAAATGGAATTTCTATTTCTAGGTCCTTGAGGAATTGCCACACTGTCTTCCACAATGGTTGAACTAATTTACACTCCCACAAGCAGTGTAAAAGTGTTCCTATTTCTCCACATCCTCTCCAGCATCTGCTGTCTCCAGATTTTTTAATGATCGTCATTCTAACTGGCGTGAGATGGTATCTCAATGTGGTTTTGATTTGCATCTCTCTAATAACCAGTAATGATTAGCATTTTTTCATATGTTTGTTGGCCTCATGTATGTCTTCTTTTGTAAAGTGTCTGTTCATATCCTTTGCCCATTTTTGAATGGGCTTGTTTGTTTTTTTCCTGTAAATCTGTTTGAGTTCTTTGTAAATTCTGGATATCAGCCATTTGTCAGATGGGTAGACTGCAAAAATTTTTTCCCATTCGGTTGGTTGCCAATTCAGTCTAGTGACTGTTTCTTTTACCGTGCAGAAGCTGTGGAGTTTCATTAGGTCCCATTTGTCTATTTTGGCTTTTGTTGCCAATGCTTTTAGTGTTTTGGTCATGAAGTCCTTGCCTACTCCTATGTCCTGAATGGTTTTGCCTAGATTTTCTTCTAGGGTTTTTATGGTGCCAGGTCTTATGTTTAAGTCTTTAATCCATCTGGAGTTAATTTTAGTGTAAGGTGTCAGGAAGGGGTCCAGTTTCTGCTTTCTGCACATGGCTAGCCAGTTTTCCCAACACCATTTATTAAACAGGGAATCCTTTCCCCATTGCTTGTTTTTGTCAGGTTTATCAAAGATTATATGGTTGTAGATATGTTGTGTTGCCTCCGATGCCTCTGTTCTGTTCCATTGGTCTATATCTCTGTTTTGGTACCAGTACCATGCTGTTTTGATTACTGTAGCCTTGTAGTATAGTTTGAAGTCCAGTAGTGTGATGCCTCCCACTGTGTTCTTTTTGCTTAGAGTTGACGTGGCTATGCGGGCTCTCTTTTGGTTCCATATGAAGTTCATGGTGGTTTTTTCCAGTTCTGTGAAGAAAGTCAATGGTAGCTTGATGGGGATAGTGTTGATTCTGTAAATTACTTTGGGCAGTATAGCCATTTTCACGATATTGATTCTTCCTAACCATGAACTTGGAATGTTTCTCCATCTGTTTGTGTCCTCCCTTATTTCATTGAGCAGTGGTTTGTAGTTTTCCTTGAAGAGGTCCCTTATGTTCCTTGTAAGTTGTATTCCTAGGTATTTTATTCTTTTTGTAGCAATTGTGAATGGCAGTTCATTCTTGATTTGGCTCTCTTTCAGTCTGTTATTGTTGTATAGGAATGCTTGTGATTTTTGCACATTGATTTTATATCCTGAGACTTTGCTGAAGTTCTTTTATTCGTGTTAACAGCCTTTAGGAGGAGGAGAATTTTATTTGCCATGCTCCCATTTCTTAACATCTAAATCTATGTTTCATAGTGTCCAACTTTCTGTTTTTCCCTACAGTGAGAACACAAAGCATTCCTTGGAGAGCAGCCTACGGCATCTAAAATGCCATTTTACCTGGAACTTGATGGAGGGAGAAAAATCCTTGGATGATTTTGAAGACAAAGTATTTTATCGGACTGAGTTTCAGAATCGTGAATTCAGAGCCACAATGTACAACCTACTGGCCTATCTAAAGCACCTCAAAGGCCAAAACGGGGAAGCCCTAGAATGCTTACAGCAAGCCGAAGAGTTAATCCAGCGAGAGCATGCTGACCAAGCAGAAATCAGAAGTCTGGTCACCTGGGGAAACTATGCCTGGGTCTACTATCACATGGGCCGACTCTCAGATGCTCAGATTTATGTAGATAAGGTGAAACATGTCTGTGAGAAGTTTTCCAGTCCCTACAGAATTGAGAGTCCAGAGCTTGACTGTGAGGAAGGGTGGACACGGTTAAAGTGTGGAGGAAACCAAAATGAAAGAGCAAAGGTGTGCTTTGAGAAGGCTCTGGAAAAGAACCCAAAGAACCCAGAATTCACCTCTGGACTGGCAATAGCAAGCTACCGTCTGGACAACTGGCCACCATCTCAGAATGCTATTGACCCTCTGAGGCAAGCCATTAGGCTGAGTCCTGATAACCAGTATCTTAAAGTTCTCCTGGCTCTAAAGCTTCATAAGATGCATAAAGAAGGGGAAGAGGAAGGTGAAGGAGAGAAGTTAGTTGAAGAAGCCTTGGACAAAGCCCCAGATGTAACAGATGTACTTCGCAGTGCAGCAAAGTTTTATCGAAGAAAAGATGAGCCAGACAAAGCTATTGAACTGCTTAAAAAGGCTTTAAATTACATGCCAAACAATGCTTACCTGCATTGCCAAATTGGGTGCTGCTATAGGGCAAAAATCCTCCAAGTAATGAATCTAAGAGAGAATGAAATGTATGGGAAAAGAAAGTTACTGGAGCTAATAGGACATGCTGTGGCTCATCTGAAGAAAGCTGATGAAGCCAATGATAACCTCTTCCGTGTCTGTTCCTTTCTGGCCAGCCTTCATGCTCTAGCAGATCAGTATGAAGAAGCAGAGTATTACTTCCAAAAGGAATTCAGTAAAGAACTTATGCCTGCAGAGAAACAGCTGCTCCATTTGCGGTATGGCAACTTTCAGCTGTATCAAATGAAGTGTGAAGACAAGGCCATCCACCACTTTATAGAGGGCGTAAAAATAAACCAGAAATCAAGGGAGAAAGAGAAGATGGAAAACAAGCTGCAAAAAATTGCCAAAATGAGACTTTCTAAAAATGAAGCAGATTCTGAGGCTTTGCATATCTTAGCATTCCTTCAGGAGCTGAACGAAGAAATACAACAAGCAGATGAAGAAGACTCTGAGAGGGGTTTGGAAACTGGAAGCCTCATCCCTTCAGCATCAAGCTGGAATGGGGCTGAATAATAGAGATGTGGTGTCCATTAGGCTACTGCTGAAAGGGAGCTGAAACTCCTCCACCAAGTTGGTATTCAAAATATGTAATGACTGGTATGGCAAAAGATTGGACTAAGACACTGGTCATACCACTGGATTGACGCCTGAATTGCTGGGTCTTGGGAAAGCTCAAGGAGTTATGAGAGAGGGACCAGACTGGGAGGTAGGTCCAGGGGTTTGGTGAGAGTTATTTCTCAATTGACTTCTTGAGCGAAGCTTGAACTGTAACATTTGCTTAGTCACCTTTAGTGGAGTAATCCATTGGGCTTGTTTCTATGTTTGTATAAAGCAGCCAAATCCCTCACATGTAATATTGAAGTCCATTTTTCAGTGTTGTTCCATACTTGGAGTTATTCTGGATCCCAAAGAGGTTAGTCCTAATGTGCTGAGTTCATCGAAAAGCTGGGGGACCAAAGTCCAACCAGGGCTCGGTATCCCCGCCTTTCACCTCTGCCTCCTTCCTCCTCCTTCCAAGCCTATCATCAATCTTGAGTATTCTATAGTATGTGAATTCAAGTGCCTGATTAATTGAGGTTGCAACATCGTTTGAGAAGAGAACAGAGAACAGGAAAAGACATAGCTAGAAGCAATGGGTACAAAAAGCAATGTGTACAAGACTTTCAGCAAGTATAGAGAGAGTTCACCTACACTCTGCCCTCCTTATAGTCATAATGTAGCATGTAAAGAATGAAAAGGGATTCTGTATAATACGCTAGAAACCAACATACTGTATTTCTTTAAAACCTGTGTGAAAAAATAAATGTTCCATCAATAGGGACAGGGAAAAAATAAGCAAAAGAGAGAAAGAAAGGAATACTGGTTTATCTTTGTAGATTGTAATTAGAGGGAGAAATTTTCAGTATTTTAGCCACTATTAGGAACATTTTATTTATTATTATTATTATTATTATTTGGTAAAATGAAGATTGACTTTGTTCAAATGCTTCGATGAACCTGGTTTGAGATAATAGGAAAGCAACAAAATGGGGGAACCTGGTGACTAAGGGCCTAGTGCAAGGTCTTGTGAAATACCATTGTTAATAGATGGTGGGGATCCCCCCCATTAGAAATGTTGTATATTAAGTGATATAAACACTTCTTTTAACTCTGAAAATCTTCATAGAAATCACAAAATTCACGGTATGCTGGAAACAATTGGGATTTTCTAGGTGGATACTGAATGGCCTAGACATCAAAGTTGGTGTGAACCAAAATAGCGTCAGCTCACCCAGCATGAAATCATCAGCCACGCTCTGGGTTGGAAATGTTTGCCTGTTGGAATTAATTTAAGTTTAAGTATATATATTAACATTAATCGTGGAGCAATTAAAACAATAAAAATTCAAGGTTTTTTAAAGTTAAAAATTCTAACAACTGTAACAATGGTTTTTGTGTTATTTTCTGTATTAAAAATCTTATTGCATGCATTTGAGGTCATCAGTGTGCACAATTTATATTCCTGAAAAAGTCATACATTTTCATTCATACATTAATAAATAAATAATGATAAAACATAAAGCAGTGAGCTGGTTCATCTGGAATTTTGCTGCACTTTAAATCTTTCAGACTCCGCTTTAAGAGTCCAGGGCTTCTGATAACAGTTGCCATCTCCCACCTGCTACCATTGACCTACATGAACACAGACACTCTGCCTCCACCTTGATGGTGGGTGGGCTGCTGCCATTTTCTTTGTTAAATCTTGTGCTTTTGTCAAATTTTCTCTATTCTGACCTCTATTATGAGAAATAAGTTTTACTGATCCCATCTTATGCCCCATCTTGGACATGGTCCAAATGTGTGTTAGAGTCTTCCCTATTAAGTAAAGAATAGGAAGAGACACGAAGCCCTGAAGTCTCTGTTGCTTTTAAAGAGGCCTCTAGCGGAAAACACAAATCATACCAACTGCAAAGGTAAACTCATTTCATGGGATCGATATGGACAAGTGTATATTTCAGGGGAAAATCGAGCTCATCTTGCCTGAGTAAATTAATCTGGTGCTTGGGAAGCAACACCACACATATTCTGAGTGGAAGGTTAAAACAGAGAAGTATGTTGAGCTTGGGAGAGGACCACTGACCTGTGTGTGCTAAAGATGGATGTATGTAGTCTTGTCTTTACATGTCCTGCCACCAATCCCTTCCGGAATAGGACCCTGAGTGGGAAAACACCAGGTAGGGTAGAAAAGGGAAACATAACATGTTATACTTAATATGTATTTGAGGACTTAAAGTTAACAAATGATTGGAAAACAATAAAGAAAAACAGGTACATAGCTCCTATTTGCTGAAATATCACTATCCAGAAATAATAAGTGGAGTTACATTAATTGGGCTTGACTTGTAATTCCCTGCCTTTTAACCACATTTCCCAGGGCAGGACATTTGACTCCCTTCATATATTCAAGTACTGAACACAACAAGCCCCTAGTAGATGTCTCCTACATGCTAATGAACACATCTGTCAGAGTTATCTGATCACATCTGCTACTTGTGTAGCTTCAGCACTCATATCCGTCAATGACCATTGCCCCTAAAACTGCCTTCAATACATTTCACATTCTCTGTATTTGATTTCCACCTTGAGAGTACTAATATCTCTGCCAAGAATGTGTTCAAGTGTGTTAATGCCAGTGAAAGAGTAAGAAGAATTCCTCTTATCTCTGTTGGTTCCAAGTAGTTCTTACTTATTTCTCAGCCTCAGAGTCCTCAGTGGAAAAGATTCATCAACTTCTGCTTGTCTTTCTCCATAGAGCTCAGACACAGTCCCTGGGGATGGCTGACCTTGAGTCATGCTCCACTTTCACCTTCCTTCATACCCAATGTCAACTGACACATCCAATGCAACTGGATCCAGTGCAACTGGAAGACTGGAAGTATTAGAATCCTGATTATAACACAGATAGGCCTTGTGTTAGGATGCCTACCATATGTGCAATCAACCTTGGATGCCAACCTGAGTGTTGTAGTTTCCAACCTGGTGCTATATGTGCCCATTTCCTCATTTCCTCCATTTGCCCAATCGCTGATTTTGGAAAAAAGACTAACTTACACTCATGTGTAAGAAATTTTCCCTATTATCAATAGGGATGAGTGCAGCTACCTCATTGCTGATTATCTACACCTTCTAGGGAGGCTCCAAAAAGGGAAACTGATTAAAATCCTTAGATGTACCTAAGCGTATGTACCTATAAGAAGGGCATTCTCAGCCCTATATGGGGCCTCCCTTCAGCTGCTTTATAGACTTAAGACTAGAGAAGAGACCAGAGGCAGGATTTGTTGGAAGCCTGTGGAAACAAATCCCAAACAGTTCTGCCTCTCCTCTGGTCCTCTGCAGGCTGCTATTGAAAAGGGAGCTACCAAACAGTTGAACAATACATATCAACCCCAGAGTCTTGGTTTATGTCTCACTTGTTTTGGAAACATAATGAGTCAAAGTTTGTGTTATTTCTGAATTGGGTAAAATGTAAAAATATATAGTAAATTCTACCCTGAACTTGGAAATTCCTGAAACCCTTCTAGAGACTTGGAAATTGGCTTCAGTGTGTTTATACAGATAAAATCTAATTAAATATTTGAAAAGTCTTTCTATTACCTTTCCAGCATCCTGGATATCCCAAGTAAATGAGCCTATTTATATTTTGCTTTTGATTTACAGATATTACACAGCAGAGACACTGTGATATAAAAGGTATAAACCACTGAGCACACATTTTCCTCTTTCTCATTTTTAAATTAAACTTACTAATTGGTCATTAAGTACTACATTTAAAAACCTAAACCTAGGCCAGGCGCGGTGGCTCATGCCTATAATCCCAGCACTTTGGGAGGCCAAGGTGGGTGGATAATGAGGTCAAGAGATCAAGACCATCCTGGTCAACATGGTGAAACCCTGTCTCTACTAAAAATACAAAAATTAGCTGGGCATGGTGGCACATGCCTGTAGTCCCAGCTACTCGAAGGGCTGAGGCAGCAGAATTGCTTGAACCCAAGAGGCGGAGGTTGCGGTGAGCCAAGATTGCGCCATTGCACTCCAGCCTGGGTAACAAGAGGGAAACTCCGTCTCAAAAGAAAATAAAAAAACCTAAACCTGGCAGGGTACAGCAGCTTATACCTGTAATCCCAGCACTTTGGGAGGCCGAAGAGGGTGGATCACCTGAGGTCTGGAGTTCCAGACCAGCCTGCCCAATATGGTGAAACCCCGTCTCTACAAAAAAAAAAAAACAAAAAAAATTAGCCAGATGGGGTGGTGTGCACCTGTAATCCCAACAACTCGGGAGACTGAGGCAGGGAAATCACATGAACCCAGGAGGTGGTGGTTGCAGTGAGCCGATATGTCGCCACTGCACTCCAGCCTGGGTGAGAGAGGGAGACCCTGTCTCAAAAACAAACAAACAAACAAAGGTCAAATCTACTTGTACATTTTTTTAGTTAGTGAAAAAGCCTACATAAGTTGGAGTTTTAAAACATATGTATAAAAGTATGTAATGTATCTTTTAATTGTTGGTTAAGGAAAACTAGTGTTTAGTAGAATATTTTAAAATGTGGAAACATTTTAAATAATGAGTAAGGCTTTTAGGTTATGGAAAAAAGTTGATTTGTCTCAGTGTTAAAAAGGAAATTATTATTTCCACCAGCAAGATATGAGAAATATTGTTTCCAGCATCTTCACCAATACTGAATATTACCAGTCTTTAATTTTTGTCAATCATATTTCCAAAAAAGGCACTGGCGCATAGATCACAGGTAACTAAAATGTTCAAGTATAGAATCTGTATGATGGAAATCCTCTCCACACCCAGAATGCTAGTTTTCTCACCTCTCTCTCTCTCTCCCCACCTCCTCTCTCTTCCTTTTTCTCTTCTCCTTTCTCACTTTTATCTTCCCTTTATGTCTTCCTTCAAGTTTCTCTTTCCCAAGATGACTTTACATCTCTGTGCATGAAGTGGAAAACATCCCTGCCAGGTTACCTATCTTTTCTCCTAATAATTCAATGAGGCCAGGTGCAGTGGCTTATGCCTATAATCCCCACATTTTGGGTGGCCAAGGTGAGGGGATTGCTTGAGTCCAGGAGTTTGAGACCAGTCTGGACAACATGGTGAAACCGTATCTCTACAAAAAATACAAAACTTAGCTGGGCTTGGTGGCATGCACCTGTAGTCCCATCTTCTTGGGATGCTGAGGTAGGAGGATCACTTGAGCCCAGGAGATGGGGTCTTCAGTGAGCCGAGATTGTGCCACTGCACTGCAGCCTGGGCAACACAGTGAGATGAGACCCTGTCTCAAAAAATAAATAATAATAATTCAACAAAGACTTTCTAGAATCACTCCCTTCTGATTAAAATTCCAAAGAAAAATCTGTTTGTCTCATTTCAAGTAACTATCCATTACCGATAGAATCCAGTTGAGCAAGAGAATGAGATCATACGCCAGACAAAGCAGGGGCTTTGAGTGTAAACTTTCTGCAGGAATGAGAGCAAATTGTCCAAGAAGGAGACATAGGAGCAGAGTGGAAATGACTGGCAGAGGACATGGCTTACATACCTAGAATACACTTACTTTAGCTTTCAATCACATGAGCACATAATTTTGTTGTGTAGTCCAGCACTTAGTCTTACATGTAGAATATCTAGAGTTCTAAGTAGACCAATATTTCTCAAACTTCAATGTGCAGTGCCTACTTTCATGTGCACAATCACCTGAGGATCTTGTTAAAATGTAGACTATGATTCAGTAGATCTGGATGGAACCTGAGACTGTATTTCTCACAAGCTCTCAGGTCAAACCAATGCCACTAGTCTGTGAACTACACCTTGAATAGCAGAGGTATAGACTGAACTGCAACCAGTTCAATGTAGTTCCATTTTTCAGTTTATCCTTTAGTCACAAATGAAGATCATACCAGCACATTTTCCTTCCTACAGTCTTCTCTCTCTTTCAGTAACTCATCTCTTGAGAGCTCAGATAAGAAAATCTGTATCTCAAAAATAAGTATGGTTAATGTAAAATGGTGCAGCCACTTTAGAAAATAGCTGGGCAGTTCTTCAAATGATTAAACAATTACTATATGACCCAGCAATTCCATTCCTAGATACATACCTAAGAGAAAGGAAAACATATGTTTACGCAAAACTTGCGCATGAATGTTCATAGCTGTATTCATAGCTGCATTATTCATGATGGCCAAAAAGTGGACCCATCAACTGATGAACTAATATATTAAATATGGTATATCCACATAACGGAATGTTCTTTGGAAAGAAAAATAATTGAAGTACTTACTAATACATGATACAACACAGATGAACCTTGACAACATGTGAAGTGACAAAAGGAAGTTTAAAAATGTCACATACTGTATGCTTCTGTTTATACGAAATGTTCAAAGGAGTCAAACCTGTAGAGGTAAAAAATAGATTAGCAGTTGCCTAACACTAGGGGAGGGGGGCGGGTGGATGGAAGATGACAGCTTGAGAGCATTCTATAATTGATTGTGGTGATGGTTGCATAACTGTGAATATAATGAAAGCTATTGAATTGTATACTTTAAATGGGTGAATTTTACGATGTGTGAATTATATTTTATTAGAGCTGTTAAAAATGGGCACTCTTATTCCAAATATAATAAGGAAAATTTTTCTTTTGTTACCTATTTTTACTTCTAATTTTGTCTTTATTGTGTTGTACCCATATTACCAGCATTTTGAATACTGTCATTGCTCTCCCATTCCATATATATGTTAGATAAGTTATGTATTCTATTTTCTGAGTTGGGTATGATATAAAAATCTGGTCCCATATGATTTTATATTTAAATACTCATACACAGGAACCTTACTCATTGGCAAATTGGCACAAAGAAAGAGTCCAAATACAGATGAAAATTTAACTCCATATGCAAGTTCAAATCTGCATGTGTACAAGTTTAGGAATAATATGAATTTTATTTATTTATTTATTTATTTTTTGAGACAGAGTCTCGCTGTGTTGCCAAACACCAGGCTGGAGTGCAGTGGTACAATCTCAGCTCACTGCAACCTCCACCACCCAGGTTCAAGCAATTCTCTTGCCTCAGCCTCCCAAGTAGCTGGGACTACAGGCACGCGCCACCACGCTCAGCTAGTTTTTGTATTTTTTTAGTAGAGATGGAGTTTCACCATGTTGGCCAGGATGGTCTCAATCTCCTGACCTCATGATCCACCTGCCTCAGCCTCCCATAATATGAATTTCTTAATGATGTTATTCAGCAACCATGTGCAACTGTTGCAAATACTGTGCTAATCCATGAGTACTTTTTAAGCAGGAGTTAGAACAAGAAGAAAAGCAAGAAAATGAACAGAAAATGGTGCTACTGTACTGAAAAAATAATTCCTCATTACATAAGAATCTACTGCATTCCAGTGAAAGAATGGCTTTGAGCAGTTTGCTGAATTTGCCTTTTCTCTGATATTTATTGCTATGATCCTCTCCAAACTCCAAAGTAGAATCTGTCTCTATAAATCAGCTTCCTCACAACGCACAAATATTCATTGTGAGCAAAGAGATAGACAACGTTTCCCTGGGCTGGATTTTTAGGGTTTCAAGTCCAATTCTACCAGAATTAAGCACCAGATTCTGAGCAACAGAGGTGCTATTTGTTCTTTCAAAATTTTACATTTTTGTATCTGTGATATGTGGGACCCTCTAAAGCATGGGACCACAGTCAGGGCACCTCTTAACTAGGTATAAGAGCAGCATTTATACCTTCTATGATATCACAAATATTTGTACCTTTTATAAAGATATGTCACTTAAATTATCACCAGGATAACAAATTGTTAAGTAAAACAACCAATCAGAATTAGACTTTTCCAAGTTGCAGGTTACTTTCATGGAATATAACAACCTCTGAACTCGAAGTATCTCATGAGACTCTGTTGTTGAAAACACCACATATCACTTCAATTTTGCTACACAAGAGTCTCTGCTTTGTGCAGCTACAGGATGGAGGGAACCCTTATAGCTAACAATTCCTTTATCATCAAATTACTCATGAGAACTATATTCCCTGGGTTTTTATGAAAATTTATGTCGCAGATGGGAAGTATTATAAAAATGGGAAAAAATATCTCAGGGTAATATCAACTCCTTCAGAGCTCAAAGCATAAATATATAATCCATCCATTAAACAATAATATGTGTATTACTTTTGCCTATTTTACAGTTGGGTAAACTAAATTATCATCCACAATACCTTGGAGAGCTAAACAGTTCAGAGATCCTCCCAGGGCCTGGCTTTGTATGTTTAATATGGGGCAAAAAGAAAATTCTGGCTCAACGATTTGGCCCCTGGAAAACTCCAGAGCTAGTAAGGTAAACAGAGATAATTAAATCTAGGTCTCCAGGTCTAAATTTACTTCTGGGGGACAATTTGCTGAACAAAACTACTATTATTTTTTTTACAAAATATTTTGGAAGTCTTTCATATAACAGGATCCCAGAAACCCTACATCAGAATCTCCTAGAGACATTTTTTAAAATGCAGTTTTGAGCTTGGGGTTAAGATGGTGGACTAGAAGCAGCTCATGTGCCAGGGTATCATGAAAAGGAAATGAAAGGGCTAATGAGCACTGACCCTGCAGGCCAATCATCTGAGAAATTATGTCAGGGATTTGGGATCCATCAAGGCATAAGGGTATCACAGAGAGCAAAAAGGGGTGAAGCTAGATACCAGCCTGTCTGGGCTCAGTGTGGAGCCAGGAGAACTTCTCTAACACCAGAAAGAGTGAGTGGGTGAGAACCCTCCAGGGGATTCACACTTTCCACAGGGACCTGTGCAAAACTGGAAATGGGAGAATCCTACTGAAACTCCTGTCCACCCCCTACCCTACCATCATGCTTCTAGACTGAGGCAGAAAGCCATCCAGTAATTTTGCAGGGGCAACTCTCTAGTTCAAGAAGACTTCTGCAAGCCTTGTGCCCCTAAGAAGACCAGCACTGGTGCCATAGCCCAATAGAAGCTGCAGTCCCAGTGCCTAGGAGCAGTAAGATTGCCCCATCCCAACCCCCTTCCAGATGGGGCTTGGTGCCAGCTTCTACCTGAGTGGTCCTACTTCTCTGTCTGAACTCAGCCAGTGGCCATAGCCTCCTGTTCTCCCAGGAAGCACCTAGAGGGCAAGACAGGCAACCCCACCCACCCCTGCCAGTGGTAGCCAAGCAGGCAACATCTGCTAGAGCTTCCATTCCCAGCAATTCCAATTCTGTTTGAATTCAGCCAGTGAGCACAGCCTCCTGTTGTCCTAGGAAACACTCAGATGGCAAGGTGGGCAACCCCACCTACCCTGGTCTCTTGTAGCCAGGCCAGCCACACCTGCTAGAGCTTCTAATTTATATCCAACAGCAAATTCTCATTTCTTGCTCCTTTATAAAATTCTTGTTTCTGTTGGTTCAACATATGCAAATCAATAAATGGGATTCATCACAAACACAGAACTAAAAACTGAAACTGCGTGATCATCTGAATAGATGCAGAACAGGCTTTTGATAAAATTCAACATACATTAATGTTAAAAACCCTCAACAAACTAAATATTGAAGGAACATACATCAAGATAATAAGAGCCATCTATGACAAACCCACAGCCAACATCATACTGAATGGGCAAAAGCTGAAAGATTTTCCCTTGAGATCCAGAAAAGACAAGGATACCCACTCTTAGCACTCTTATTCAACCAAGTACTGCTAGTATGAGCAAGCAGACAAGAGAAAGAAATAAAAGGTGCCCAGATAGGAAGAGAGAAAGTCACACTATCTATTTTTGCAGACAATATGACTGCATACCTAGAAAACCCCATAGTCTCTACCCAAAAGCTCTTAGGTCTAATAAACAGCTTCAGCAAAGTTCCAGGATGCAAAATCAACACACAAAAATCAGTAGCATTCCTAAACACCAACAACATCCAAGCTGAGAGCCAAATCAAGAAGGCCATACCATTCACAAAAGCCACAAAAAGAATAAAATATCTAGAAATACAGCTAACCCAGGAGGTGAAAGATCTCACAATGAGAATTACAAAACATTGTTCAAAGAAATCAGAGATGACACAAATGAATGGAAATGTGCATGGATAGGAAGAATCAATATTGCCAAAATGCTCATACTACTTAAAGCAATTTACAAATTCAGTGTTATTCCTACCAATGACGGTCTTCATAGAATTAGAAAAATCTATTTTAAAATTCATATAGAACAAGAACTGCTCAAATAGGCAAAGCCATCCTAAGAAAAAAGAACAAAGCTGGAGGCATCATGTTACCTGACTTTGAAGTATACTGCAAGGCTACAGTAACCAAAATCGCATCGTACTGGTCCAAAAACAGATACATAGACCAATGGAACAGAATAGAGAGCCCAGACATAAGGCCACACACCTACAACCATCTGATCTTCAACAATGTTGACAAAAACAAGCAATGGGGAAATGACTCCCTGTTCAATAAAGGGTGCTGGGATAACTGTCTAGTCATATACAGAAGATTGAATTTGAACCCCTTCCTTACATCATATATGGAAATCAACTAAAGATGGATTAAATGTAAAACCTAAAACTATGAAAACCCTGGAAGATAACCTAAAAAATACCATTCTTGACATAGAACCCAGCAAAGATTTCATGATGAAGACACCAAAAGCAACTGCAACAAAAAAAAAATTGACAAATGGGACCTAATTAAATTAAAGAACTTCTGCATTGCAAAAGAAACTATCAACAGAGTAAATAGGCAACAAATAGAATAGGAGAAAATATCTGCAAACTGTGCATCTGCCAAAGGTCTAATATTGAGAATCTATAAGGAACTTAAGCAAATTAAAAAGCAAAAAGCAAACAACACCATTAAAAAGTGGGCAAAGGACACGAACAGACACTTTTTAAAAGAAGACATGCATGCGGCCAACAAGAATATAAAAAAATACTCAATATCACTAATCATTAGAAAAATGCAAATCAAAACGTCAGTGAGATAACATGTCAGGCCAGTCAGAATGACTATTATTAAAAAGTAAAAAAATAATAATAATAACAGATGCTGGTGAAGTAACAGAGGAAAGGGAATACTTATAAACTGCTGGTGGGTCTATAAATTAGTTCAGTCACTATGGAAAGCAATGTGGCAATTTCTCAAAGAACTTAAAACAGAAGTACCATTCAACCTAGCAATCCCATTGTTGGGTACGTACCCAGAGGAATATAAATCAGTTTGCCATAAAGACACATGCACACATATATTCATCACAGAACTATTCACAATAGCAGAGACATGGACTCAGCCTACATGCCCATCAACAGAAGACTGGATAAGGAAAATGTGGTACATATACACTATGGAGTCACCAAAAAAGAATGATATCATGCCCT